ATGTATGAAATTTATGTTTACTATTTTTTTACATCTCTCTGGCAAAGAAATATCAATATTTGATTGACATATTCGTGTTTATGTTTAATAATAATCACTGCAAATACTCTTTAATGGTTCGTCGCGTGGTATTCGTAAAAGTTTCACCGTTTACCTTGTTGAGGATCGATCATTCTTTAAGAAAGATTGTAAGGTATCAACTATTATTATATCACTGGATGAAGTATCATAATTTCTGGCTTAATTGGATTTTCCAATCTAAAAATGGGATGAGGCTCATATTCAATGACTATTAACTATGCGTGTGCATACGTTTGATTCTTTATGGCATTTTCTTGATACTACACAATGATAGTTATAAGTTACACCACATGTAAAGTACATTGATAACTTTTGTTTGCATCATTGAACGTCTCTCGTATTCGTTTTCCGTACCCAAAGCGTCGAGTTTGTTAACATTTATTGATCCATTGATCGCGCCTCTGTCAATATCACATTCCTTTGTGAATAACACATTATATTTAATCAATGGCTTACATACTATAAAATAATTGTGTCCTTTTGATAGACGTCCTTATATGTATAAATTAGAACAACTTTTTTCAATGAAAGACTCGTCAGCATTTTATAAACTATGTAAATTCTTAATTATAATTATAAGAAACGAAGAATGAAATCACATATTTATGTTTGCATTTTAAAGTCAGTAGTGATTGTGTAATGTTCTGAGATATGTTTTTGTTTTACTGATATTCACTTATCACTTTCTTACTATACATTAAACGTCCTTTATGCCTCAGATATACTTTTATTTTCATATCTCAAAGGCCTAATTTTTTGATGTACTTTTATAGTGTCCAAAAGGTTAATCACTGGTTTATTACCTGGACCATCTTTTTCATCTGTTGTTGTTTTAGCAATAAATACAAATATAGTGAATAAGCATTTTGTATGGAAGTCATAATACTACTTTGTTTACATTTTACTTAAATGACAAATTATGTCATATTTATCGCTACTTTCTTCTGGTAACAAATATCTAACATTATCTTAAAACATTATTTAATGTTATAAAATTCATATTTGCCCTTTCTAAAGAAGTAAAAAAAATGTTTCTAAGAACAATACGCTTCTAATTAAATAACATGTAATAGATATGTTGATATTATTTAATAATTATTGTCTGATTTCAATATTGTATTTACATTTTTATAAATGCCTCGTTAAACAATTTGACAGTTATCTTCATGTTACATGTTGTATGCATGTTTGAGTGAATAAAAAGATATATCTTCTTGTTGTTGTGGCAATAGCAGGACATTGAAATCATAACACCCTTCAGTACAAAAAATATAAATTGTGCAAAGACAGAAATACATAATACATTAAGAGTATTTGAGAAAGGCACCTTTAGATTTGACGCCGTCTTTGACGTCTGACGTGCGCCGCGAGTCAGATAGTTGCCATGGTGTTTATGACATACTTTTGTTGTTTGTTGATATCTTTATATGTAAATTTGTGAAAATGTTTTAATTATATTGGTTGATAACATATCAAAATATCAAATTCGTACCTATTTTATTTAGCTTTCAAACAATATTTTAACAGAATATATGGACACCCTATGTAACAAAATAATGTATATACATATATATTTACGAAAAAGGTTTACTTTAATTGTTAAGTGTTTTAGATTATTTGCTTTAAAACCGTACATTTTCTTGAAGTTAATGAAAACAGATGTCTGTTTTTTTGTTAATATGTAACAGTTATATTTTTTTATTCCAGATTATATGCAAATAGATAAAAGGAATGATATTTCAGTTCTCCAAAAAAGGATGAACTATTTCGAGAAGCCACAAAGAGATGTATACTTATACGATGATAAACGTAAGGAACAATTTAAAAAGTTACAAAAATGTGCTAATACATTATTTAGGGTTTGTGTTTTACAAGATCCAATGAAAACTGTGATATGTAAACAGTTGGGCAATGCTCTTCGTAATTGCAGTAGAAAAGGGAACACACAACAAATAAAAATATGCTTAAACAAGCAAGTGTGTAAAAAAAAAATAGAATAAACATGAATTTCATTCAATGAATTTTCAAAAATACTTTTTTTCCTTTTAACTAGAGCAACATTATGCCATTGAATTGAGTGATTTTAATAAAAGAGATATTGAAATTATTTCCAACATAAGTCGTTGTTTTGTCATTATACACAAAAAGAAAGTAACCGGTGTTAATCTACCAATTTAGAACTGCGTACGGACTTGGTGTTTATTCAGGTTGTTTATTTTATAATAAACATGTTCTACCTCCGATAAAGTCGATACACAGAGGCAAAATTAACAAAGCATTCTTATCGATATGTTCCATTGCTTTAGTTCATATCATATCATATGTAAATAACATCTCGCAGTTTTTAATTTTATCTTATAAATATCTTCCAATACACATAATGTTTTATAATGTTCACCATTCATATGCGGCGACAGGGCGTCATTTAAAAAAACTTGTGTCATACCTTGGCGTGTGTTATAAGAAAAGAACGGGTAAGAAAAAGCATAGTCACGTATACAAAATAAGTAAACCTAATCTAATCTAACATATTCAAATGAAACCTTATCTTATCTAACATATTTAAATTCACCCGTTCTGTTTGGATAATTAATCACACTTATTCCTATTCACTAAGATCTATACAAACCAAATATTAAGTTTAAAATACGTATGGTCTTTAACATATTTTTTAAGTTTTCTATTATTAATCAAATGACATGAAAACTAAAATATGAGAAACACAAATTGCTTTGTAAGTAGAACTACTTAAATATCAGTAATTCATACTACGGTCTATCTTAATATTCATCAAACATATGAATGAATGAATAAACCCAGAACAGAAAAAGTATTTCATTGAAATAACTGTTAAAATGTCTTGAAAAGGAGATTCGTTTTGACCGAGTCTGTTAATGAGAGATTATAGAAAAATGTTGCATCTCCTATACCCCAAGAACCTTATTAAACAGGTATAGGAGATGCAGCATTTTTCTATGATCTCTAATGAACAGACTCAATTGAAACGAATCTCCTTTTCAAGACATTTTAACAGTTATTTCATACCTCCTAGCACCTCATTAAACGGTTATTCAACTTTGAACATGTAATGTGGTTGAATCAATTATACTGCTGGGCAATACAATACAAATATAATAACACTGAAGTGAAGTACGAGGGAACTTTTCACAGCTGCCATACGCCTCTTGAAACGTGCTGTTGTGAAGAATAAAAACCTAAACCTTACGTTTCTTGTTTTGTTTTTATTTGATTTATTGGTGCACGTTTTAAGAAGTACAAAACGTTATCGCGTGAAACGAGAACAGAAAATAAGTGCTTAGAGTCATAAATACATGTATATACATGCACATCGTTTCCATTTGAAAAACTTTTAGATTTAAATCATTATACATTTTTGTTCAATCATTTAGTCAAACAAGTATTTAATACATTTGCTTTGTGCAAATATATTATTTCTATAAAGAAAATTAACATTGTCTCTTAGACATTTACTGCTGCGTAGAAACTCAATATCAACAAGGGTGCCATAGTCACAAAATACGCCCGTTTACGAAAGCTTTAGATGGAGATGGGGGCATTATGGATAAGTGTTATCTAGCAAGCAAGTTTTTATTCTTGGCACTGTGTTGTTAAATGAACCTTAAAACAAATCAGTAGGGAAGATATGCACAGGATGTGTGACCTTGACCTTGGTCGCAGGGACCTGAATTTTATGCACGGCACTCAGCCTCACAATGATGAACATTTGTGCCAAGTTATATTGAAATCCCCCTATGAATGTAGAAGTTTTGCTCCGGACAAGCGTTTTTCAATGAGCTCTAAGTGTGACCTTGACCTTTGACCTGGAGACCTGGATCATGCATGGAGCAATACATATCATGGTGGTGAACATTTCCATAAAGTATTATAAAAATTCTTCCATACATGTAGGAGATATGCTCCAAACAAAATCTGGATATTTCACCATCTTTAGTGACCTTGACCTTGCATATATTGACCTAAAGTACATGTGTCACAGCCGTAGTCATGATAATGACCATTTGTGTTACAATCCTTCAATAAATAATGTTTAAATCGTCCCTATACACATCTTCATATTTTTATCTAAACTTTGACCTCTATGTGTGACCTTGACCTTGGCTGCAGGGACCTGAATTTTGTGCGCGACACTCCGCCTCACAATGGTGAACATTTGTGCCAAGTTATATTGAAATCCCTCTACGCATGTGGAAGTTTTGCTCCGGACAAGTGTTTTTCAATGAGCTCTAAGTGTGACCTTGACCTTTGATCTAGAGACCTAGTTCATGTGCGTGACATGGCTTCTCATAATGGTGAACATTTCTATGAAATTTCATTAAAGTCCCTCCATGCGTGTAGGAGATATGCTCAGGACAAAATCTGGATATTTCATCATCTTTAGTGACCTTGACCTTATATATATTGACCTTAATTATATGCATCACAGCCATAGTCTTGATAATGACCATTTGTGTTACAATCCCTCAATAAATGATGACTAAATGGTCCATATACACATCTTCATATTTTTATCTGAACTTTGACCTCTATGTGTGACCTTGACCTTGGCCGCAAGGACCTGAATCTTGCGCGCGACACTCCGCCTCACAATGGTAAACATTTGTGCCAAGTTATATTGAAATCCCTCTATACATGTGCAAGTTTTGCTCCGGACAAGCATTTTTCAATGAGCTCTAAGTGTGACCTTGACCTTTGACCTAGAGACCTGGTTCATGTGCGCGACACTGCTCCTCATAGTGATGAACATTTCTATGAAGTTTCATTAAAATCCCTCCATACATGTAGGAGATATGCTCCGGACAAAATTGGATGCCGCCCGCCCGCCAGGGGCGTTCCCATAATACGTCCCGTTTTTCAAACGGGCGTATAAAAAGTGATTATTACACAAAATATTGATATGGTATAGAATGATCCTGAATTGCTTTATGTTTCATCACTTCAAACTGTGACGGTCTTGGCAATATGTCTTCAAGTACCTGTGTGAAAATACGTTCTCTCGACTCTCTGTCTACATTCTTAGGAAAATCATTCGACAACACCAAAAATGTCCCATTTCTATAGAAAAATCGTTTCATGTTTAATAAATACTGTAGAAAGTGTGACAAAAGAAACCAACAGATTCACGAACTGTATTTTTCATTAATCGAAGTCTAAACATATATTATACCACAAGATGAATTCACTACGATATTCCTTTAAAGAAACAATGTAACGTCTGCATTACTGATGACGTCATGACTTCACAACACATTGTCATATCTATAGAATAGCACATCCATATATCAATAACAAAATTGTGAACAATTTCAAAAAGCGTAGGAACGTTTGTGTAAAATTTTGGTATATTTTTCATTCTTTAACGATACATTTAAATTTCAGTCAACTATTAACAAAGGTATTTCTTTACAAATAAAAACATTTCTGATATCTTGACAACGTATGTACCAAAAAATGCACATTTACCTTTTGATAATGTTTCTAAGTAAATTAACGACAGGGTCCTTCTGACGAATGGACAAATCAGTATGGCTAATTTCTAGAACAGACCACCTGTGTAAAGATAATATTCTATAGTTATTCTGATTGTTAACATCACTGTTTATATTATTTTATACAGCAAGCTATGTAAGTACGAGTACATGTTTCAAACGGGGGCTGCATGTTTTTTACCGTTTGGCGCGTTCTGTAGGATTATTCATTGTTCTCTTTTTTAGTAGTAAAATGTGAAATTCAATATGAATTTAACCTTATATATATGCTTTGTATTACGAATATGTAAAAAAGAGAACGATGTTATTTATTTAAAATGATTTAAAATAAAAATAATCAACATTTCTTACTCTGTAGTCATTTTTATATTAAGATTTCTTGATTGTTCTTCATCTCTCAAGTAATTGTAATAGGCAAACACTGGTTGAAATGTCATGTTGTTTTCAATTTTTGCAGAAGATGTAGTTTTCAATTCACGTGTAAAACTGAAATTAATTGAAGCGTCCGATTTAACTTGTAAATTCTCATGTCTACGTATTCAAAGCTTAAAATAATTCAATAAAAATCAAATTACTTGTTCAATTTTTAGTAGCTTTACATGTATATTGTTTTTCAAGAAATGATTAAACAAAGGTTACATATTACAATTCATCTGCTCCATACTGAATCGTTTGGTTGGTTTTTACACCAATGTTAACACATTTGAGCCACGTCATGACAAAACCTTCATAATAGGTGTGCGACCAGCATGGATCCAGACCAGCCTGCGCATCAGCGCAGTCTGATCATAATCCATGCTGTTCGCTATCAGTTCCTCTACTTGTTACAGAGTTGTAAGCGAACAGCATGGATCCTGATCAGACTGCGCGGATGCGCAGGCTGGTCTGGATCCATGCTGGTCGCAAACCCATTATGTTGGTTTTGTCATGGCGCGGCTCATATGTCAGTCATATCACGGCGGCTGGTCAAACTTACCGTCTTTCAAGTATAACTAATCTGTAAATACCAAATGTTACGCAAATGACCGACTTGAAATGCCACATGATTTTTGAATCAGCGGCCCGAAGAAGACAAATGGTGATTTGACTTAAGTCCAAGATCAACTTTCACGAATAATTTCGTCTCGTCCGAATTTTGAGAAACAACCACAGAATTACAAATCCGACGCTTTCCTTATTAGCTAAGGGGGCGAACTCTAACAAATGACAAAAATCTTACCCGCACCTAAGCATTCAATTTGGCAACCTAAATCGTAATAGACTCACAATATACTGCATATTAGCCTTTATTTAATGAAATAAGATTGAATAATACGGAATTCAACATTCAACCGAAAAAATACACTTCTTTGTTTTTAGTTGAATGCTTAACATCTTGGACAAAAACTTTTAACATAGAAAAGCATAGGTCATGAACAGACAACAATATAAAATCACCGACAGAGTTGGTTTTAAATCAAAGCCTAAACCAAAACAACAAGATCATAATTTACCTATTCGTCATCCCGGAGACGATGTCTCTGTCCAGCATATAAGGACCAGGTATCGGCATAATCATGTCTTTTGGTCCAAGCACCTTGTTGAAAATAAAACCTGTATGTCTTAAAGAAGCCTGCCAACTATTAATTGGGATTTTATCTGGTTCAATATAATCAGGAAGTGGTTCAACGATTATACAATCTTCACCGTCAAATTCACAACTAGCAGTTGCGCAATTCTGCTCACATATTCCATTATTTACACTTGTCATCCGACAGAGTTTGTTACAATAATCCATCGCATCTTTGTTTAATTGAAGCTTGAAAAGGTAATATACTGTATGATGAACATTCTCTGATAACACATAATACGATTTTCAATTTATTTCTGAATACACATCTTTCTGTTGTAAGTGCACCAGCTTATCTTGGTAGGAAACTCAAATTTCATGTTTTAAAGCTACTCTTCCACTCAAAACGGTTCTTAAAACATCAACATATATTAAGAGTTACCAAATATACATAAAAGTACAATTTACAGTTTTCATGAGACAACAGTGACCTAACATTTGCCTTGAATCACTTTTCACACAGATATATTTACACAGTTAACATGTAGTGAATAGGACAGCTTGGTGCAGGTAGAACTCACTAAATGAATGTTTGTTTTAAAATGAATTATCAAGATATGATGTCCTTACTTTTTGTCTCTTTTAAAACTTTCTAAGATATATCGTGCAACAATTGTTTGCAGGGTAAATAAAAACTAACAAGGCGCGCATTTGATCTACCCGCAACAAACGGATCAACTTGCAACTAGTTAAGGAGTGTGTTTGTGATTCAAGTTATTCAAGTTATTATTTACAAAATAAAACGCTGCAGTGGTTAAAATTAAAGATAATCATTGCAGATTCTTTACTTAGATGTTTTTCGTCGGACAAGACATGTATTAAACATCTAGTTCCAAATATATAATAACACGAGCATGTGGTGAATTTTTATCGATTATAAAAATAAAAAGCCCAATAGGACATAAAATTTAAGGCTTTTGGAGTTACTTATTAAGATTTGATTTTTGAGAGAATGATGGATAAGCTATATACCTTTCTCACCAAAAAATCCTTACACACAAATTAATTTATTGCTTCGATTTTGTTTATTTTATTGTTTAAAGTTCGTTTATTCTAATCAGACGGGAATCAAGTTAACGCAAATGTCTTCCGATAAAAGTCGATAACTGATAAAAAATGATTTTGAATATCTAAATATCTAAAAAAAAATGAACGCACATGAATTCAAGCAAACAAAAAACATGGCAAGATTAACATATACGTTACCTTATAACCTGCATATTCAGTATAAAAATATGACAATTCAACAGTGTCCGTAAATATGACGTCATCTCTCATGTATATAAATCTTTTTGATAATCCGAGTATTCGATGTAGATGGCATTCTATTGCAGCAGACGAAAAAGTAGGCAAATCTGACCGATTCGGAAATATCTCCTGCATTTTATTCGAAAGATGAATTTTAATCGAATTTTAAAACAAATAACATGCATATCCGACTGCCATATCAAAGATTAAACAAAATACGAACTCATTCAAAATCGTAATGATAACAATGATCGATATAATAGTACGAGTATTTATACAAATTTACAATAATGTTAACTAAATAATAATGTTTCTTTTAAAATCATTAAAAATAAGTCAAAATAATAATGTTTTCTTAAACAAAACAAATGTATTTATCGGATCAAAGACAAAGTGGTTTTAAAGTGGTGTTATATTTTCGATCCTTGAAGATCGTTCAGCACGACATTATTGTTGTGCTTGTGGTATTTTTTGTTTCAACTTTTCGGCATTTTCTAGTTGGGTGGTTCCAATATTCCTACTTGAATAATGTTGAATCACCCTTAGGATATGTAGCCTGCTTTTTAAATCTGTCTTTTGACGTCTTATCTGTGATACGCAGGCTTCATTACCTCTGGTCCCCTTTCAAATTTCCATTTTATTTAGTTCCGCCCATTGTTTTCTCGTTTAGGGCACAAGCTTTTTATTACTTGGGGACCATACGCCGCTTTTCATGGAATGGCACGGAAGTGTCACATTGAAGGTTCCATGATAACCGCCGTATGAACACATCTGCGGATGTTTCTAAATTCAAAATTTTACTATTTCATGTTTAAATGTTGAATTCTGCTTAAGCCGGTGCTAGGGGGCGTGGACGGTAACTTGCACTTTCCAGTACCGTCCATGAACAGGCTCAATCAAACCGAGCCTGCAACATTTTCAATTTTGCCGTGTTGGGCTTTCTTTAGGGATTCTGTATTTATCTATTTTATTCCCAATGATAAGTAATAGTACAGTCCCTGGGGACCGTTTGTGTGCAAAAAAGGTCCATGGATAAATGTTATATCAATGTAAAGCTAAATATTTGAAGTTTACAAAAATTTTGGGTAGACATGTCAAATCATGGTACGTTTTGAGAAATCCAAGACGGCCGCCAATGTATTGAAAAATGGCTCATACGCATTTTATTTGCTAAAATAAATTATTTTTTGTATTTATTTTAGTTTAGGTGAAACTTTACATCCTAATTGGAACAATATGAATTTGGGGTCTTTTCCATTATTTATACACATGCTCTGGATGTCATAGATATATTCTGCTTAAAAAAAAACCATGAAAAATATACAAAAAATCGACATAGGGTTGACTTTTTTCCTATAAGTCGAGGCATAGCGGAGAAAATGAATATTTTTACCCTATATAACAAAGACCTGGACAACATCTTATGTTATTGCACCCTTATTTTTATCTTTATTATGTAAGAATGTGGATTCTGATGTTCCTAAAGTGGGTGGGATACACGAAAATTAAGTCTAAGTACTTTGTGAACTGGTATGTGATGATAATTGAAACAATGAATTGTCAACATGTATTGTACTTTGGTATGTACCTAAAGATAAAAGTTCTTAAGAAAGCTAGATTTTATATTTTCTGCGACAATATGTTCTGTTGCCATGGCAACGGAGTAGTAAAATGAAAGATACAATTTAACGCACCTGTACTGTGTGACACTTCCAACTTTTAGCATTTTTAGAATGTTGATAAGAATTACATGGTAATACCATACACAATTTTTAGATAAATAATTTGGGCAAATTAAGTATGTAATATTACCATGGTAATTTTTTTTTAATTCTGCAGTTGCATTTAAGGCTAGCAAATTATCAAAACATATAACAGCTGATATTTTAAAATCAAAAATTTGCATAATGTATTTGTTTAATTTCCTTTTTTGTTTCAAACTGCTATGCAGAAAACATGTCATGTCAAAAAGGGTTTGTTGTTACTATTGAAAGGGATAAAAAATGGTGAAAATAATAAATAAAAAACAGGCACATGGCAAAAGTCTCTATAAACATGTATCAGATGTCAAGGTTCCCTCTGAAATTATGCACGGGGTAAGACCAAATTTTGTAACTAAAATGGAAAAAAAAGGGTTACAGATTCAAAATTTAGGTCAACCAATATCAAACATAAATGACAATTAAATTTTTTTTTAGTTCAAACTTCTTGGTTGTAGCTTGTACTACGAAAAGTAAGTCGCTAGATTAAATTCTAGGTCAGGTGATTCTGCATCTGAAATTGTACACATAATCTAGATACAAAATGGTCACCAGTAAAAACCTATGTCAGTTGATGGTATCAAAATTCAATGGCATGTCATAATGTGTGTGTTATCCAAACATTTAGGGAAGGTATCCAGACGTCTCTTGTTCGATCCTCAGAACATTGAGTCTGGTGGTCAGTTGTCCGTCACTCAGAAGCTTGCGGAGAAATTTGTTACTTACTCGTCTGGTAAGTTATCCAAGCTGTTGTCAAAATGAGTTTAAATCGGCGTATAAACCAAGCAAACAAAACAAAAAAACAATATTTGTAGTGATCTACACTATGTAACATACACACAATATTCAAACTCTGTACCTTGCATTCATCACGAGAATAGGCCTTTAAGATTTTTCCTATACATGTATGTGTAAAATAAAATCACCCAAGGGACAGGCCCAACATAATTTGAAGAAACATGATAAAGTCTACAAGAAAAGCTCACAAGCTCTGAACAATGGGGTTTACGGGCTGTTTTTAAAGGATTTCTTATACAAGAGTATGTATGTATGTAAATCAAGTTAACCTGGGGAAAGTTAATTTTGATCAAACAGGTCATCATTTAAACAAGCTTTGTAGTTACAATATCATGACAGAAATTGATAAAAGTCAACGAGAAAATGCTTATTTTGGAGAACCTTTTCTATGTAACACTGTAAAATGACACCTGGGGCTGGATCAACTTTGACCCGATGGTGTCTTTGACAATGTTTTTTGACAATGTTTTATACTAAAACTTTAGGCTCTAGGCATTTGGTTTTGAAAAAAAAAAAATTTTAAAATGTTATTCTATATGTTTCCATTTGAAACTAGAACTATCACTAAATGTGATTAATATCCCTGCAAGACTGCAGAGTACATTGTAAAATAACTGAAATTAGAGTTATGGTTGGGGCAATTAAAGATAGTTGTGGTTCTTGTATGTTGCATTTCTTTTCAATGTGGTTGACCATTGTAAAAGTTTTATTGGATTACTCTGTAATAAGTCCAGAAAGAGTTACAGCTCTTGAGCACTGCACTTCCTCTCATTGTGCTTGGCCATTGTATGAAGTTGCATTGAATTCCAAAGATTAGTTTTCTAGTTATGCACTGGACAAGAAAAAGGAACAAAGGGAAATAACTATGTAATAAGTCCAAATAGAATTATAGTTATTGTGCATTGCATTTCATCTCACTGCGCTTGACAATTGTATGAAGTTGTATTTTATTCCAACCATTAGTTTTCAAGTAATGCACTGGACAAAAAAGTAGTAGCAAACGGCATTTACTCTGTAATTAGTCAAAATGGAGTGATGGGTCTTGTGCACTGCACTTCCTCTCAATGTGTTGACCATTGTATGGAGTTGTATTGAATTCCAACAAGTGCTTTTCAAGTTATACTCCGGATCAGAAAAAACAATGGAAAAAAACAAAGCGCAATAACTTTGTCGTTAGAAACATGTTTATTCAGCTTAAAGTGAAATCATAAGTAAAATCAACATCTATTTAGACATCGAATTTCACATTATGATAAGGGCTTAAAAACGTAACAAATTTGCCTCTGAGTGTGAACAAAATCGATTCAAAACAGGTCCCGGTAGAAAATAGTATATACTATCAAAAATAGGAATAAATTGTACTCAGTAAAATATCTTTCATTTATATATAAAGAAAGGTAGAAAGCCTTGAGCGGAAATTTGTACACACGAAAAATCGGCACGCCGCTGCTAGGACTCATAACCACGGGTCTTTGAGTTGTCGGTCCAGTATGTCAACCACACAAAATAAACTGGAGACGCAATGAACATTCAGTCATTAAGATATCAGTTTGATATGTACAATTTGGATCTCAACATTCTATCAAACTTAAAATTTGCTATAATTACATTGCATTTATCAATTTATATTGCTATATTTTAAATTGGCATGCAAATCAAAGAATGCAATCATAAACGCTTAATCTTGTATGGTAAAATTGCGCGTTTCCACTCAGAAATATTTGTGAAATAATACAAAACATATACCTTATGATTAATAATGTTGATTCGCCGATTGTCCATATTAAGCCAGTATGGAATTTGTCCACTCGTGACTAAATGTACGGTCCTTATCCAAGGTGCAAACTTTTCAACAGATCTTAGAGAGTATTTAAGAGTTCCCCAGTCTCGGTATCGATTCTTTACTAGTATTTCAAGTCTAAAATATAAGATTATCTAAGTAGTTGATGAGATCATGTCTTTAATGTTTGTATTTTAGAGTATATGACATTAGAATGCAACTATGAATAGCAGCACACACCAACACACCAAATGAGATACAATATAGAATTACTTGCTTGAAGACTTGTCTAACAGTTATGCTAGTTAATAAATGAAGGTGATCGATAGTATATTAAGCATATCTTACGGATTTGCATGTTCCTGTCTGCTAAGACGGTTCAATTCACGAATGAATTTAGGATCCGAGGTGTTTACCCATATATATACCATGTCAACTGGGTCAGTATCATATCCGCTAAGAATGTCATATGTGCCATATATGCTTTTATTTGACCTGTTAAAGAATAAATAAATTACAGAAAAAAAAAACATAATCCCTAAAGACATCTAAGCAAAATTGAAAATGTAGTAGGCTCGGTTTAATTGAGCCTATTGTATCTCATGTCATATATGTATGTTATGTTCGGATGCTATATGCATATAAGCACACATACATGTACTATCTCGTATACTCGTATAATGAAAAACTGAATATTTTTTCCCCTGAGTTCAGTTTCAAATCACTCCAGAATGATTATTGCATAATTATTTAGTAAGTCTTCTTTCACATATTTGTAGTCTTGCAAAAGGTGCTTAAAGTTAATAATATTTTTGTATGAAAAATCAATCGTCTGTTTTTTTGATGAATAAACAACTGGTAAGGTCATATTTCTTTTAGAACAAGTTGTACAATGTGAAAAGTTTTTTGATTTTACATGATCTCAAATCTCACCATAAATGTTTCACCTCTTTTCTTTCTGTTTCAAAAGAGACAAGCTCCCTTCTCAAAAACGCAACATTATGTTTCTAAAATGATATTAATATACATATACATCTCAAGACATTCAAAAAGGACATTTCAATGTTCAATTGCTAGGCTACTGAATGTCAGACACACAATGAAAATGCAAAGAACATTTTCAAACCCACTGATTTTATTAGAAATTAAACAAAAGAACGATCAGTAATATGTGTTCCTTTTCTGTTTGAATTCCAAAACAAATTTTTAAAAATGGATAACCATATTGGTATGACGTATGAAAAAAACAACAACAACAAGAACAACAACAATAATTACAACAACAAATACCAACAATTTAATGGTTACAGATTGAGTTGATTCAATAATGAAGAAAAATGATTAGATAATGTTCGACAGTATGTGCATTTAGAAGCAAACATATACCTACTTGAGATTGTCCTGTTAATGCACCATCATGTAATGCCAACATATACCTTTATCAACACTAATAAGGAATACAGCTTATTGAGAATATAACTTACCGATATCCAGGCATTCAATGTCTTTATGAAGATTAAACAAAATAACAACAGGAAGAAACATGATAATATACAAGTAATATTTCGTTT